AGGTTCTCCTCTTGTTGCCTTCAAAGTCACTGGTAAAATGCTCATGAACTCCTGTGCTGGCAGGATGCCAAGTGAGGTGGAATTTCTTTTCTCTGCACTTTTTCTTACTGCACATTCCAGTTGATTCCCCTTTGCCCCTTTAAGTCTCGCTGCATAGATTTGGGAAATGATTATTTCCATACAGTGGAAAATTATTATATTATGTCCATAATATAATAGAATATATTACATTATTATATTATGTCCATACAGTGGACACGTGTCAGGGACATACAAGTGACTTGATTTAGGTAAAACTAATCAAATTGTTTACATAAAGTATAAGATCAGTGCTCTCAACTTTTTTTCTTTGCCATCCATTAGCATCTTCAGTTTGCCTGTTTTCTATATCCACATATATATTTATATTTGTAATGCATCAAGAGTTACTATATAAAAGGAGGGAGGGGGAAGCCTTTTATGTACACACTGAGTAAACCCATCTCCATGAGCATTGGACAGGATATGAATTTTACACCATCCCATGAGAGAGATTCTGAAAAGGACACTCTCCAGCATTTGGCCCTTTGGCTTCACAAAGCAGATGAGGTGGTGCCTGTTTATGACGAGGTTTATCTTTTCTGTTAAGGCCATGCATGTAAAGAACTGCAAACTGAAGTTGTGTTTGTAAGGGCTTGATAAGTACAGCGTCACGAGAGAGAGGATATTACAAAGCTTCAGGTGTCTGCACCTGAGGCCTCGATCATTTTCACGTACGGTGGTGTTGAGATAATCCATTCTTGCTGCTATTTTCAGCCACGTCGTCAATGATCAGAGCTCAGGACACGAAGACAGAGAAAGCGAAGGAAAAGAAGAAAAAGCTGTCAAAGCGGAGACACTGTATACATTAGTGAATGCTGTCACGTATGTACATTGTGTTTAAAATACATTCTGTTTTTAAAGATTAATAATAAAATTTCTTACTTAAAATTTCACGCTCTCAGTTGTGTTCAAGGAGCCAAGATACAAAGAGTTTCAAAAGACTGCAGCCCTGTGAGAATGGAAGGGAGCAGGTGGAGAGGGACAAATAGAGAGCAGGGAGATTTGCCAGGCAAAAACGTGGCTTCACATCCCTGTGCTGGAATCCAGCAGAGTTGGGAACAGGTCTGGGCTTCCTCCCTGCCGCCAGCAGGCAAAGAATTGGCCTGGGGAGGCGAAAGGGCCGTAGGCTCGTGGGCCCTAGAACAGCTGTGTACATCCTGGACTTGGCAGCACAGTCAGCACTTTGTTATTCCATGTCACACAGGTGGATGACAGGAGGACCGTTAGGCACATCTTGACCACAGCAGGACACCCCAGATGGCAACCGAGTCCCTAGAGAGAAAGCCTAATACCAGTCTAATATTTTTTGAATGGATCTTGTGGAGAGACTCCAAACAGTAAGTTTAACTCCCAGAGAGCATGTGGGATGGGCACGGTTTTTGAAAGGCACCTGTGAAGTCAACAGGAAGCAAACCAGTTGCGATGCAGGTTTCTGTGTGTGACTTTAAACTGGTTTATGCCCACTGCCCGTTCCAGTCTTAGGCTCAGCTTACCATCCCGGTGCAGCAATCAGCATTTGTACACCAAACTAGTTCACAAATAGGAGTAAATTGCATTTTACCCAAAAGTAATCAAATTGTCTAATTTGTCCTAAGTTTCTTGTCAGCAGTATGAGCAAGTGGACTTAAAGGGTAGCTCTGTGGTTGCAGTCTTTCTGGCTTTGCCAAGCTTTGAGGGAGACAGTTTATTATTTGCTTTTAGATATCCTTAGCTGCTGGCTGCTAGGCTTTTACATCCACAGAGGAATGTCAACAAGAACTTGTTTCTCAGGTGGAGCTCCACTAGTCTCACAGCTGGGACACTGTATTAGACAGACATCAGCCCATTTCAGCATAATGGTTTTTATGCAGCAAGGCAACTTTGTTTAAATCTACCTCCACGCTTGAGTGAATAGGTTGTTCAAGGAAGAGAAATCACCTCTGTAAACTGGGAGAAAACATTAGTCAGGTCCTCCAGTAATACTGAAATCCAGAGTTCTTTCTCACCATACAAATAACATTTAATTCACATAGCATAGGCCCTGCTGGGCAAGCAGTGATGTGAATGGCACACTCATTTTGAGGTTATAGCAAAAGTGCAGGCCAGCTCGTTATAGAAACCTTGCCAGATCATTCAGCAAGATGATGCAATCATGAGGACTATATGCATTGTCTGTGGGATCAAAGTGCAGGGTGTTTAATTAAAAAAAAAATTGTTCTTAATTTGAGAGACTTGGCAGGGTTTTAGTCTCTTTGAGAAGTGTTCCTGGCATTAGAGAATCTATTCTAGTGTAGCTTAAGTGGCTTTCTAGTGAATATCTGAGTCTAATACCACGGTTAATCTTCTCAGACAAGCGTCCAAGGTATGTATAAATACTCTCAAACAGCAGTGGCTGTTGGACAGGTGCTTTTTAAGTTGACAGTATCTCACTCTTGGAAGAGCTTGCATTAATGGGAAAAAGGATTGTACACAGCTTGAACAGCATGTTTCGCTTCGACTTCAGCCATTTCTGAAGATCAGCTTCTCTTTCATGCATACCTCTGTGTATTAAGTGTATTGTTCGCTCACATTTATTGTTAGAAAAGTGCAACAAATGCAATTAAGGTCCCAAATCATTAGCTCCAGCACAATTCTAGCTATTCAGTTTAAGCTGTAAGTTACTGACTGAAACCCACACAAATGTTGTGTGCTCAGTGGTGGTGCACGTGGACAGAACCTAAGAGCTTACAGTTGATACACAGAAAGCATAGTCATAATTAAGCAGTAGAAATACTTGTTACGGTCAAGTAGTAGCCCCTAAAATGAAATAAGCCTCGTGTTAGCATTTATTTTTCAACCCAGGGGCTGCTAACTAGGTGCCATTTTTCTTTTAAGTTCATGTATTAAGTAACTTAAGTCCCGTATTAGTTTCCTGTTGAGAGGGTTGAGGACGAGTGTGTGCACTTGCAGTTGTGTTTGAAGACCACTGAAGCAGCATCAGCCACCTGCTGA